AGCAAACAAACAACAATTTGACAATATAAAAGCTGAGTTTTATGGTCCTGATAAGTGCACTTATCTGGACTCAAGAAAAGGAATTGTGGCCAACTGGAACATCTCAAAAGCGAATGTCAAATTTTTGAAGAAGAAAAAGCAATAACAAAATGAAGAGTGGCCTAAGTTTCTTTAGAAAAAAAATACTAAATAAAGTTTGTTCTTTGAGTCCAGTAGATTGTTATCGCCAAGAGTGGAGTATATGTTGGATAACATTCATATATTTATGAGTGTTCTATTACGAATAATATATTAAAAGTTGTTACATGTTTTGTTTTATTTAAGTTATTATAATCACTTAATTATAAAGATAACAGGTTGTCTGTACCTGGATAATATGATATAAAAACGTAAATGGTTCTTATTCTACAAGAATTCTAGGCTAAGAATTCTTAATGTTATGAATAAAGTTATTTATTTTTTTCATTTCTTTATATAATTCTTATTTAATTCATATAAATTCGTTAGAAATAATACGATACAATTGCCTTAATAATTTTTCATGAAAAACTTAAGTGATTAATTTTCACATGCAATAAGATAAACTTTCTAGTGTTCTTTGTGTGTTAAACATTAGAAAGACATCTAATATAGTTTCCACAGTCCCGTTCTCTTGCCCGCGACGGGCAATCTTATCCTGCCCATCCGGAGAGAACCCAACGTGGGATTCTCACATTTGGAGAGAACCCCACGTAGGGTTCTCCTGCCACATCCACAGGTGGGCAGGATAAGATTGCCCGCCGCGAGCAGGAGAACATTCTCGATAGTTTCCATTCATTTTATTGTTATTGGTAAAAACATAAGAATAGGAGGCAAAGTTGGAAAAATAATGTTAGTAATCTTACGTTTATACGATTTTGAAAATGTTTAATTGATGCTTCTTAGATATGGTCTTTATATGTAATTTTGTAAAGAAAAAAATTAGTAGTGTTTCTGATGTCTAGAAATATCTTCTCAAAACATGATTAATTTTGGACAAAAGCAGCCATAAAAACCTATTGTAATTATTTGAANAATATTTTAAAATACGATATACATTTTAATCCAAATATAGATATAATAACAGATCTTGATATTATAAATTCTCAGATATTACTAGATTTTGAAGATTTACTCAACACATTATAAATAAATAAAGCATAAAGACCAATTTTTAAGATTTTAAAGATTATTAGATTATTAGATTTTAAGATTTTTGTTCGCTCATGGGGTGCGACCAATTTTTAAGATTTTTTATTTTTGTTCGTTCATAGTAGCACCCCGTCAATTGGTATCAGAGCCATAAATGACCTATAAAAATTATAAAATATTATAACTAAAAGGAAAAGAAAATCATTAAAAATAATGAAAATTGAAGATTTAGGTGACAAATACCATATAATAAGAGAAAATTTTAACATAATAATTATAAAAACCAATATTATATAATAAAAGTGTAACAATTACATTAAAAATACTTGAAAAATTACCTCTGGAGACAAAACAATTTATAATTGAAAAAATAAGATTAGATATTATCGGAGATATGTATACTGGAAATGATATTAGAAACCTATGAAAAATACATGTATGACTTAATTGAAAAAGAAATAAGAAAATATGACTCAAAATAAAAAAGTTATAGAAGTTACAATTATCAAAACAGACTGTTAATATTTGTTAGAAGATAATCAAGGAAACTATATTATTGAACCATTTCCTAAAAAGTTAAAAATAATAACATTAATTATAATTAAAGAATTATCTAGAGAAATAAGAGAACAAGTATTAGATAAATTAATAATAGAATCCATAAGAAATGAATATATACAGTCTCGTTCTCCTGTCCGCGGCGGGCAATCTTATCCTGCCCACTCAGAGAGAACTCAAAGTGGGGTTCTCACATTTGGAGAGAGCCCCACGGGTTCTCATGCCACATCAGCAGGTGGGCATGATAAGATTGCCCGTCGCGGGCAGGAGAACATTCTCGATAGTTCCATTCATTTTATTGTTATTGGTAAAAACATAAGAATAGGAGACAAAGTTGGAAAAATAATGTTAGTAATCTTACGTTTATACGATTTTGAAAATGTTTAATTGATGCTTCTTAGATATGGTCTTTATATGTAATTTTGTAAAGAAAAAAATTAGGAGTAGTGTTTCTGATGTCTAGAAGAAATATCTTCTCAAAACATGATTAATTTTGGACAAAAGCAGCCATAAAAACCTATTGTAATTTATTTGAACTTCAAGAAGGAAGTATAATACTAAGTTAAGAAACTTGATAAGGAAATCAAATGATTAATAAGGCTGGTTGATAAAAGCAAAAAAGAGAATATTTGTATCTTGTTCGCTATGCCTGAGAATAGATAGAAAAAGTCTCTTTGATTAAAAGTAAATTTCTTACTTTTTAAAGTTACTATGATATCATCAGAGCCTTTGACAAAGGCCCTGCAAGAAATTAATAAAGTATAAATATCAAAGGGCACACAAGCTGACTTTTAATGGCCAATAATGGAAACTCAACTGAACACTTGAACATCAAGATCTTGGGTTCATTGAGCAAATTACATTACATGATTGGTAGCAAGAACTATGAACTTGTCCATAAGGAAATGTGCTTGGTACATATAAAGCAAAAGGGTAAAGGTTAAGCTATATTAGTTTTAATTGACTTATATATACGGAATACTTACTTGAGTATTCTTGATAAATCTACCTATTGAAAGTCATAAATGATGCCGTCTCTAGGGCGGCTTGACTAGCTACTTGAAAAGCTTCATGGAAATCTAGTATCAAGAACATATGGCCGATTCACGTATCGATTTATGAACACATAATGATATAAAAACATGTGCATGAAGTGTTTCCAATTATCCACATAGGGTCACTAGTTCAAAGCTTATCTACCCCATCACATTGTATTACAATTGAGACAATATCACTAGGTAGAGGTTCAAATCCAAAAGACTTCTGTTATATGGGCTTCCAGCCCATGAGGAATACTTGGCCCAAATCCACTAAAATGTCTTGTAGGTCACATTACGGCTGCATGATGTCGAAAGAGGAAATTACACCAAACCATGTGTTTTCTTTTACATTTTAAAAATTCAGGTTTTTAAGTTTTTTATTCAATTATCAGGTTTTTATAATTTTAATTAATAATGATTTTATAAAATTAAAATAACATATATACCCACCCCACTATCTACCCCCACCCACTTTATTTTAAATATAACATCTATCCAAACCCTAATCCATTTCACAC